ACCTCAGGTGATCCACCTACCTCGGCCTCCCAAAGTGCTGGGATTACAGGTATGAGCCACCAAGCCTGGCCTCCTTAGGATCTTTATGAGTAAGGGAACCCGCAGCAGGTCAATTGTTTGATTTTCTTTGGTTTCATTCTTATTCCATTTCTTCCCTGAGAGTACAAAGTTAATCAGCAAGACTACCCAGGTGTTAAGAGATCTTTAGTAGTAGAAGGAATCTGTCTTGACAAGATACAGCTTCAGCAGGGGCCTGAGATGTAAAATTGGACATCTTCCCTCCAGCCTCGGCTTAGGAGTAAAAATGGTCTGTGGTACTTTTTCTATTCCTTTTTATCTTTTGTGGAGAAGGTGGGTAGCAAGAAGAGTAATAGATACTTGAATGAGCAAAAGCAAATTTGGGATAAAAATAAAGAGCTGGTATTCTGTGGTAAATCTAGTCCTAGGTTGAGAATAAGGCTTTCTACAAGAATTTCCCTAAAGGAGAGTGTGACACTGTACATACTTGTCTTCTCAATCATTCTCTGGTTATTTGGAACGAATTTCTGTTTAAGAATCAATTGATGTCAGGAGCATGGTGGCTCACACTTCTAATCCCAGCACTTTGGCCAAAGTGGGATGATTAGTTGACCCCAGGAGTTCAAGACCAACCCGGGCAACATAGCAAGACTCGTTCCAAAAAAAAAAAAAAAGAGCTGGGCATGGTAGTGTGTGCCTGTGATCCCAGCTACTTGGGAGGCTGAAGCAGGAGGATCACTTGACCCTGGGAGATTGAGGCTTCAGTGAGCTATGATGGTGCCACTGTACTCCAGTCTGGGTGACAGAGCAAGACCTTGTCTCAAAAAGGAAAAAAAAAAAAAAGAATCGGTTGATATCAACTTTCCTCACTGATTTACCATATGTAAATTACCCCAGAACTGCTTCCCCTGGTCATCTTCCTAGTCTTCAAGAGAAGGAACATGAGGAAACTTCCACATTTTATTACACAGCAACAGGGAATGTGGTGGGGAGGAACAAGAGAAATGGGAAAGGAAAGAGAAATCACTGCCTTGAAGAGGGTAATGTGGAGAAGGGAGAGGAGACCCCAAATACAATGCTGTAGGGCTTAGGGAGACTACAGTCTCTACTGGAGCCAATTTTGATCTCAAAGTCACGTTCTTCCATTTCCCGCTTCTTCTCCAGGCAAAATGAAGCTGAATCTGGTGCAGATCTTTTTCATGTTGCTGATGCTGATGCTGGGCCTGGGGATGGGCCTGGGGCTGGGGCTTCAAATGGCTGCAGCAGTCTTGGAGGAGAGTGATCAACCGCTCAATGAATTTTGGTCCAGTGACTCACAGGACGAAACTGAGGCCACTGAGGAGGGAGAGGGCACCCAAACCACAGAAACGCTGGTACTTGGCAACAAAGAAGTGGTGCAACCTGGCTGGCCGGAAGATCCCATCCTCAATGAAGATGAAGTTGGAGGAAACAAGATGCTCAGAGCCTCAGCTCTCTTTCAGAGCAACAAAGACTATCTTAGGCTTGACCAGACAGATAGAGAATGCAATGAAATGATGGCACACAAGATGAAGGAGCCCAATCAGAGTTGCATAGCCCAGTATGCATTCATCCACGAGGATCTAAAGACAGTCAAAGCTGTCTGTAACAGTCCTGTCATTGCCTGTGAGCTCAAGGGGGGAAAATGTCACAAAAGCTCCCGACCTTTTGATTTGACATTGTGCGAGCTGTCCAAACCAGACCAGGTCACTCCTAACTGCAATTACCTAACTTCTGTTATAAAAAAGCACATTATTATAACCTGTAATGACGTGAAACTCCAGTTACCAACTGGATAATGAAGCAACTCATCATCTTTTTACTCTTCACCTTCTCCTGTTCCTCTTCCTTTTTTACTTCTTCTTTCGCATGTAGTTCTCCTGGTCTTAGGTATTATGCAGATGTAATTCTTCCTTGCCTTGTGAGTCACCCAACTTGCATTTTGTTTCTAGGATTACAGATGGTAGAATAAGGTGATGATGCCTCGTTTCTCTCAGCTCTCCGTCTCTCCTTTCCCTTACCCTGGAAAGGAGTAAGTGAAGAGCTGCTGTAGTCCCTACTGTAGTCCTGGCCATCAATTTGTCTCCTTTTCTAAGTTTGTCTCTGGATGTGGACTGGAAGAGTTTAGTGTATCCTTTACCCATGTTCTTCCCTGCTACCCACCCTGAGCCTCTACAACAATCACATAACACTCTTGGGTTTTGCACAATTGCACTTCTGTGTTGTGGATGCAGTTAAAGTGATTCTATCCGTGACGGCTTCTGGAGGACCATGTGGATCAGGCTTCCTTTTCTGAGCTGGCAAAAATGTAGGGACTAGGTTTGGGGGTCTGCTGGGGAGGTGGTGTGCTGCTGTAGACCAAGATAGAACATGGGCTGGAGCAAGGATAGAACTCTTTTTTCTTGACCCTTCACTGCCCTTTTCTCTTTCTTCCCATCTTTTACTACCAGCCTCCTTGCTTTGCTTCTTGTTTTTATCTCTTACCTTTGCTTTTGTCCTTTGCTTCTTTTCTTCGTTTATTTTTCCTGTTTTTCTTTTTTTCTTTTTTTTTTTTTTTTTTGAGACAGAGTTTCACTCTTGTTGCCCAGGCTGGAGTGCAATGGCTCGATCTCGGCTCACCACAACCTCAGCCTCCCGGGTTCAAGCGATTCTCCTGCCTCAGCCTCTCGAGTAGCTGGGATTACAGGCATGCGCCACCACGCTCAGCTAATTTTGTATTTTTAGTAGAGACGGGGTTTCTCCATTTTGCCAGGCTGGTCTTGAACTCCTGACCTCAGGTGATCCACCCACCTCGGCATCCCAAAGTGCTGGGATTACAGGTGTGAGCCACTGCGCCCAGCCTCTCCCTTTCCTCTTCTTTTTCTTTTTGGGCTTTCCCTTCTCTTTATCTGGGTCCTTTTAGAGATTCAGTCAGCCGATACTGATCACTTATGCTATGTTGGTCCTATAGTCAGTCATGTAAGCAGATGTTAGTCCTATAGTCAGAGTCTGGCACAGGGAGTTGGAAGAGGGTGGGTCTAGAGAGTAAGAAAAAGAGAGAGGAAAAGAGAGAAAGAGAAAGTGAGAGTGAGCAATCTTTTGAATTATGTCCAGAAGCAGAATAGTGCTTATATTAGGTGCCCAGTAGATGTGGAATGAATGGGATAAGAGACAGGCTTTTTCTCATTTAGCATTATTTCCGCTTTCTTGCTCTAAAGAACAAGAAAGTTGGTGAAAGAATAATTTCAGCAGAGAAGATATCACACTTAATCAAGGAGAAGAGAAGCTGTGTGGCTGGATACGTAGAAGATGCAAGTGGCTGCCCTCAGCCTATTTCCTCTAAATTCAAATGAGAAATAGTGTAGTTAGTCATGCTTAGGGAGGAGAGGAATCTGAGAACATAGCTGTAAGGATTCACTGTGTGACTGGATTTTGAGATTTCCTTCCCTTAGAGTTTTTCTCTGCTTCACATTCCTAGATTATTATAGACCAAGTCAGGGACATACGTAAATGGGAGACTGAAGAGAAGAACGGTTTGCTTTACTCTGACCTGGCTTGCATTTTTCTGTTCTTTCTTTCTTTATTCTCCAGTTTACTTTATTCTTCCTGTTTTCACGGACAGGCAACCACTCTAGTAACCTCCTAGACTTCCCTGATTCAATATATCCCTTATACCTCTGACTCACTTCCAGCAATAACGTCTTAGGAACAGTGTTGTCTCCCAAGTAATTCTAATAATAGTGGACAGGAAGTATGTGTCCATCTGTGGGCTACCCTGATGTTTTAGAGGTGGTGATGAAGTGGTGAAAGGTGATGACTCAGCCAAGGCAGATTCCTGAGGGCAAATCCCTGTCTGGGGAAAGAGACAAAAGATTATCTAAGGCAAGGGAGAAAAAAATGAGAAATGGGATGGGAAGAGGGGAAAGAAGAATAGGTGTCAGAGAAAATCGGCCATGTTAGTCATCTGTCTGGTAGGTAAACCAAGGATTTAGGAATGAAATGTGAAAGGTCTCCATTGTATGGAGTGAATTATCAAGAGAATGGAATTAGCCAGGGATTAAAGCCTGTATTCTGTAGTATTCTGATGTGGCTCCATCCTCTTCAGGTTCCCTCCAGCTTCTCTCCCTAAGGGTTCCGGCGCTGTTTGATGAGGATGCTCATCTCCTCCAGGTCTTCACTTTGGGCAAATCTCAGTGGTCATGTGTTTTTTTGTTTGGTTTTGTTTTCATTTTTCTGTTTAATCTGACCATGTAGACTGTCTCAGGAAAGCAATTTACAAAATACAGGCCTCTAGTGGCTCAAGCAGGAAAATATAGCTTCCATGGCTGATAATAGGGTGACAAGGCATTGTGGGACCTCACCTCCCAGGGACAGAAAATTAACTCACTGTAGCTCAAATTCTGCCTCATTCACAAGACTTTTGCCAAGTCTTCTAATTCCAATGTCGCTTCCTCTCTATACTTTCAGGATCTATGTTGAGCCCATATGACAGATCCCCAGTCCCTTATCTACAGTACCCAAATCTCTAAAGCTCTGAAAACAGAAAGTTTTCTTTTCAAAGTGGCCCCAAAACTCATTTAGATATGACACCTGACTAGACTGACAATGTGAGGCTATTTATCTTCTTTATTTATGCTATGTGACCATTACATATTTCACTGTGGTAGTATCACAGTGTTTTATTATGAGTAGGCCCTTCTAAGAGTGTGTTAGTCATATATGATATAAACATACACACTTTAACATACAATGGTGCTTTTTAAAATCTGAAAATGTTGGCCAAAATGCATTGGCCCCAAAAGTTTCAAGTAAGAAATTGTGGGATCTATATATAAATATTTAATTAGCCCTTAATTAATTTGAGTATACCATATATGATCCTAGTTAGGCCACTAGCATCTTTGTGGAAGGATCTGTATTATAAGTTTCTTCTATATTCTTCTTTGACACATTTATTAATCAATGACTGTCTACTTATTGGCCAAGGGATGTCTCCTCTGCTGTTTGGAAGACACTCAAATATTGTCTTCAGAACACTCTGTACAAGTTTTTGGTCAGGTGTGGTGGCTTATGCCTGTAATCCTAACACTTTGGGAGGCTGAGGTGGGAAGAACACTTAAGCCCAGGAGTTCAGGACCAGCCTGGGCAACACAGGGAGATCTCATCTCTACAAAAAATATAAAAATTAGCCAGGCGTGGTGGCACATGCCTGTGATCCCAGCTATTTGGGAGGCTGAGGTGGGAAGATTGCATGAGCCCCAGAGATAAAGGATGCACTGAGCTATGATTGCACCACCGCACCGCACTCCAGCCTGGGTGACAGATTGAGACCCTGTCTCAAAAAAAAATGTGTTTTAAGTTGTTCTGAACTTTGCTGCTTATTAACATTGCTGGCCAGGCGTGGTGGCTCACGCCTGTAATCCCAACACTTTGGGAGGCCAAGGCAGGTGGATCACCTGAGATCAGGAGTTCAAGACCAGCCTGGCCAATATGGCAAAATCCCATCTCTACTAAAAATACAAAAATTAGCCCAGCATGGTGGCGCAAGCCTGTAGTCCCAGCTACTCGGGAAGCTGAGACAGGAGAATCATTTGAACCTGGGAAGTGGAGGTTGCAGTGAGCCAAGATCGTGCCATTGCACTCCAGCCTGGGCGACAGAGCAAGACTCTGTCTCAAAACAAGCAAACAAACAAATAACAACAACAACAAAACATTACCTTGGGGAGTTTAAATTTTTTTTTAATTAAAAACAATTCCAGGGCCCTCTTCTAGCAATATTGGTTTAATTAGTCTGAGTTGGAGCCTAGACATCAGGTGGGGTCCAGGCATCTTGGAGCCTACCAGTTTTTCTGTGAATTAATGTTTCAAAAGTGTTAACAAAGATGTTGAACTGCTCAGGTTATTAACTAATCTGATGTGGTGTGCTGTAGGAGAAAAGAACCAATTCTTGGGATAGATGTGAGAATATCTCAGCTTTGCCCCTCGAAAAAAAACCAGTTGTGACTCTGGGAATTGCCCTCAGCTCTCAGAATCTGAGGTTTCTTATCAGTAAAGTTAGATAATGATCATACCTATTTTATAGGTTTGTTATGAGGATTAGATGAGATTGAACAGCCCACGGTAGGGTTCAGTGAATGGCAGCTGCATTTGGTGGTGATGTTGCAGGGCTCACTGCCCATGGTATTTTGATGGAGTCCTTCTGGAAGCAGCACTATAACACGAAGGGCAAGACCGTCAGCACAGGTTTGAGTTTCAGGTTGTTGGCAGTATGCAGATATGTGGGATCTTATTAAATTTCATTTTTTGGATGGCCACAAAATTTATATTCTAGGGCCAGTAGAGTCCTTAGACTTGAGCAAGCAGGGCCACTGCCCTCAGGGCTCCCCTATACTTTGGAGTGCCTTCCACATAGGAAGTTCCCCCGCTACAGTATCTGGGACTGGCTGAGGTTCCCCTGCTACAGTATCTGGGACTGGCTGAGGCCAGCAGCCATGTGGTTAGGGTGCTCTGAGCTTAGCCTAGGACCGGTGTGGGCCCGGGTCCCATTTCTTCCCTTTGGAGCACTGTCTCCCCACTGCCATGTGTGATCAACTGGGTGCCACAAAAGAGTTCTGAGATTTGGTCAGGCATGGTGGCTTATGCCTGTAATCCCAACACTTTGGGAGGCTGAGGTGGGTGGATCACCTGAGGTCAGGAGTTCGAGACCGTGCTGGCTAACGTGGTGAAACCACGTCTCTACTAAAAATACAAAAAAAAAAAAAAAAAAATGCTGGACGTGGTGGCGGATGCCTGTAATCCCAGCTACTTGGGAGGCTGAGGCAGGAGAATTGCTTGGACCTGGAAGGCGGAGGTTACAGTGAGCAGAGATCTCACCACTCCTCTCCAGCCTGGGTTATGGAATGAGGAGGCTCTGTCTCAAAAAAAAAAAAAAAAAGGAGTTCTTAGACTTGCACCTAAGAGGGTCCTTCTGGGGCCCTAAGGCCAGGGCCTGGTTCCAGGAGGGTGGCCTGGTAAATGGATTTCTCCTTCTGGCTGGTGTGGTATTTTTTTGTGTGTGAGATCACCAGAGTGGACCATCAGAAAGGTGCTAACACTTGATTTTGGATGATTCAAATATATCCTGGACACAGGATGCATCCAGGACTCTGGGCCACCGGTGACCATTTACTACTGATGTTAAGGCTTGAGCTGCATGTGTGGAGGCTTTTGCTGTTTTGCTGGCTTTTGCTAATTCTGGTCTATAGCACCCAGGGGTAGTAGCAGTACATGTTCTTACCCTGTGAACTCCCCACTGCTGACACGCAAACAGTTACTTCATTCCTTTTGTAAGATACATACCATGTGGAAGTGTGGAGTGACTACTCCTGTCTTCTGTAAGGATTTTGAGACTCTTGCTCCTCAGTGCCAATGAGGAATTTCTTCTTCTTTTTTTTTTTTTTTTGAGAGGGAGTCTCACTCTGTCGCCCGGGCTGGAGTGCAGTGGCACCATCTTGGCACATT